CGGGCCGGGGCCACCGGAGGGGGCAGCGGGGAAGGGCCGGCTGTGCGCGCGCGCGGGCCGAGGAGGGAGGATCGGGAGGGAGGACGAGGAGGATGGAGAGGGAGGATCGAGATCAGGGAGGACCGAAAGGGAGGATGGGGAGGACGGGGAGGGAGGACCGAGATCAGGGAGGACTGAGAGGGAGGACCTCAGGAGGGAGGCTCGGGGAGGGAGGACAAGGGAGGATCAGGGAGGATGTGGAGGGAGGACCGAAGAGGGAGGACCCGAGGCTGGGTCCCACCATGTGGCAGCCTGTAGCTCGCGTCTGACTGGGGACAGGGGAGCAGGCACAGTGGGGTGGTGGCAGCTCGGCCCAGGGTCAGGGTTCGAGTTCTGCTCTGCCTCCTAGGAGCTCTGTGTCTGAGGGTGACTTTGTTAGCTTCCGGTGCCTCACTTTCTGGGGCTACGTGGGGGTGCTTGGGCAAGAGGAGCAGCCGTCCCCACCGCAGCTGGCCGTGACAGTGGCCGCCACCCACTTCTCAGGGTTCTGTTGTCTGTTCTTTGTGCCCTTGAACTTCCAGGACCTGTGCTGTGTGACCTGGCCACCCCGGGGAAGTGCTGGTTTGGGGTTTGCAGGTGAGTGTTGCTTCCAGGGGCCTCAGCCAGGGCGCTGGTGTGCTGTTGCTGTGGCAACAAATCTCACAAACTTCCTGGCTTTAAACAAGCCACATTTGTTCTCCAGTCTGCAGGCTGAGTCGGGGTGTCCGCAGGGAGGGCTCCTCGGGGGCAGGGCCGTGTCCTGGCCTCTCTCATCTGTATTCCCTGCACCGCTCGGGTCATGCCCCGCCCCCACTTTGGAGTCAGCTTCAGCGTCCTGTCCCTGGCTGTCTCTCCCTGACACTCAGCGTCCCGCCGCACCACCCAGCAGATCCCCACCCAGCCCTAGCTGAATCACACCTGCAGAGCTCCTGTTTCCAAAAGGTCACGCTCGGGACCTTTTCTGTGACTGGAGGCATCCCCTGTTCGTCACACCAGGTGTCAGAAATGAGCTGAAGCGTTCGCTGTAAGCAAGGGGGCTTGATTGGCCCTGTCATTCGTGGGCTGCAGGCCCAGTAGGATCCAGGAAGAGAATGTCTGATTCCCAGGAACGTCCCATGCCTAGTGAGTCCGATTGGTGGCCAGGGTGTGGTCTGCATGCTTTAGCACACACTCAGAGGAGGGCTCCCCCTCAAGGGACACCCCTAAGTCCTTGGCTTCCCCACCCACACAAGTGTCTTGTGTTCCTGGCAAAGAGAGACCAAGTCATTCATTCATTCATTCATTCATTCATTCATGCAAGCATTGTCGGAGTAAGCATGTACTCAGTGTACTATTTCCAGGTTCTCGTGCGCGCTGTGTGTTGCCTCAGGGCCTTTCTGCATTACGTAGTGTGCGCTTGGCTGTCTTGCAGCAGGAGGACCACTCAGAATGAAATGCAACAAGGAAGCTGCAGGCTGCACCTCACCCCTGACTTCTGCCGCCTCCCCGGGGCTTCGGACCCATTCCTTCTTTGTGTTCATGCAGCCGTGGCCCACGAAGAGCTTGGTGAAGAGAGAGGTTCCTTTAGCCCAGCGCCTGGTAAGTCACAAGTAGTATGTGTGTGTGTGTGTGTATGTGTGTGTGCGCGCGCGTGCGTGTGCGCATGTGTGTGTGTGTGTGTGTGTGTGTGTGTGTGTGTGTGCGTGCTGCTTGTAGCACTGTCCCTTAGTTTTTCTTTTAAAACATGGTTAAGAGAGTGAATCAAGCCTACAGTCCCAGCTACTTGGGACACAGTGTAGAGACTTGTGGTTTGACATCAGCCTGGGTGTAAGTGTTTGTAAGACTTTATCTCAACTGATGGCTTCAGGCAGTGGTGTGCTCCTATCGTCCCAGCAATGCTGGGAAGCAGGAACAGGAGGATGGCAGCCCAGACCAGCCTGGGCATAGATAGAGACCCCATATCAAAAATTACAAACACAGCCGGGTGCCAGTGGCTCACACCTGTAATCCCAGCTGCTTAGGAGCTAAGAGCTGAGGATCATGATTGAAGCCAGCCCAGACGCTTATCTCCAATTAACCACTAGAAAACTGGAAGTGGTGATGTGGCTCAAGTTGAAGAGTGTTAGCCTTGAGCTAGAAAAGCTCAGGGGGCGTGTCTAGACTCTTGAGTTCAAGCCCCACAACCAGCCAAACTGCCCCCCTCCCCCACCAAAAAAAACCCCACAGAACACAGAGAGCTGGTGGAGTGGCTCACATGGTAGAGCACCCGCTTAGTAAGCATATAGTTTTGAGTTCAACCCCCAGCATCGCCAAAGAACAACAGTAACCCAGCACTTGATACTGTCCTTATTAAAGGTGTGAACCATGCCGTGTTTCACTTTCTCGGTTTCTGTATTTCGCTGTAGCATGGTCATGCCTCTGGTGAGGTTCCAGGACCTTCTGACACCGGAGTGACTTTTCAGAAATGTGCGCTGGTAAGTTTCCATGAGTGGCCTGTACTTGAAGAGAAATTAAGCAGTGATGGGGGTGAATATGTGCCCGTCTGCGGGGCGGCGCACATCTGAAATCCCAGTGACTCAGGAGGCTGAGACCTGAGGATCGAGATCCCAAGCCAACCCAGTAAGAAAGTCTGTGAAACACTTTATCTCCAACTAACCAGTAAAAGTCCAACAGTGGAGCTGTGGCTTAAATGGAAGAGTGTTAGTTTTGAGGAAAAACAAAAAGAAAGCAAGCTCAGAGACAGTGCTCAGCCCTGAGTTCAAGCCCCAGGACTGGCACACAAAAATAGTGATGGATCTTGGGCTGTGTTGCTCCTGCCAAGTGTACAAGTGTGTAAGAAATGAGGTCTAATGTCTGGGGGACTCTACGATTAGGGGCTTTGGGAGGGAACAGTTGAATGATGAGTATTATTTTTTTCTGCTGCTGCTAGGGTTTGAACTCAGGGCCTGGGCGCTGTCCCTGAGCTCTTTCACTCAAGGCCAGCACTCCACTACTTGAGCCAGAGCTTTACTTCTGACTTTTTTTTTTTTTTTGGTAGTTGATTGGAGATAAACATCTTACAGACTTTTCTGCCGGGGCTGGCTTTGAACTGTGATCCTCAGATCTCAGCCTTCTGAGTAGCCTGGATTACAGGTGTGAGCTACCTGACTATGGTTGTGCACTTGGGGTCTTTGTTTCCTTCACGATTTTCGGAAGGAGTAATTCACTGTCTGGGTCTCAGTTTCTCGACAGTGTTTCTTCTTGGCCCTCCAAGGGCTTGCAGATCAGATGGAACCTGATAAACATCTCAGGCCTTCTGAGACCCGGTGAGGGGGAGCTCACATGGGGATGTGCCCTCCCTCCCTCTCCTCCTGTCCTAGGTGTCGGGGCCCAGTGAGTCACAGACCCTGCATGTGCGACTGATTGTGAACAACACCAGGACACCTGTGTCCACCAACCTCTCGGATCTGCTACTCATGGATTCCATTTCTGGTCTCATCGTCAGGGAGTCAGTTGGAAATAAGACTGGGGATGGACTCCAGGCTTTCAAGAAGAGGTTTCTGCATGGTAAGGGCTGCGCTCACCCATCAGGGATGTCAAAAACAGGGGTTCTCAGATATGAGCTGGAGGTGTGAGCTGTTCACAGGGTCACGGGGTCAAGCATCATGGTGGATCTGCTTAGTGCAGTTCACAGTACTGCTCAGAATCTTATTTCTTACCTTAGACAGAAGTGAGATTCTAGGAAAGAGTTCTCTGTTTTTCTTCAAGTGTAGATTCAATTTTTGTTTTTATTTTTTGCTTTTGTGTTGGACCTGGGGCTTGAACTCAGGGCTTGGGCGCTGTTCCTGAGCTTTTGTGCTCAAGGCTAGCACTCTACCACCTTGAGCCACACTTCCACTTCTGGCTTTTTGGTTAATTGGAGATAAGTGTCTCACAGCTTTTCTTTTCCAGGTTGGCTTTGGATAGTGATCATAGATCTCAGCCTCCTAAGTAGCTGGGATTACAGGTGTGAGCCAATGGCTCCTGGCTTAGAGATGCAATCTTTTTTGTTGTTGGTCGTGGGGCTTGAACTCTGGGTCTGGGCGCTGTCCCTCAGCTCTTCAGCTCAAGGTAGGTGTTCTACCACTTGAGCCACAGCGCCACTTCCAGTATTCTGGTGGTTTATTGGAGATAAGAGTCTCACAGACTTTTCCTGCCTGGGCTGGCTTTGAACTGAGATCCTCAGATCTCAGCCTCCTGAGTAGCTAGGATTATAGGCATGAGCCACCGGCACCCGGCACAATTTTTATGAATGGTAGGGTTTCCCTGGTGTCAACCACCAACCTCATGACTCAAATTCCCATCCCTTGGGAAGAAAGACAGCTCGTTTTGAGTTGTACTGGACGGAGGTAGGAGTGGGTGGACAGCCTCAGGAAACATGCTCACATGCTGCTTAGATGTGTTCACCCATGTTTAAGCATGTTCACTGGTATGTTAGTCAGCTTTCTGTTACTGTAACAACAAACCAGAGGCAATCAACTTAAGAGGAAAGGTTCGTTTTGGCCTATTGTTGTGGATGTTTTTCGTTTATGACTGGTTGGTTCCTTTGCTCTGGAGCTATGGTGGTGGCACATTGTGGCTGGAGCAGGTGTGGTGGAGGAAAGCCATTTGGCGTATAACAGATAATTGGAAGGTAAAGGGCTGGACCCCACAGACCCCTAGGAGGGCCTCACTCCAGTGTCTGGGCCTTAAGTATCCCCCCGCCTCCTGATACAGCCATGACCAGGTGCCAAGCATTGAACACATGGGTCTTGGGGGCCTTGGTTGGGCCCTGGAGGGGTTTGCAAACTGCTTGGGTTGGCTTTCCCAGGTTCCCTCCAGAGGTGAGCCATCATGGCTAGTTAGGCAGGGATCGGAACCAATTCTGGGAGCTAGGTGTGACCATGACACGGTCCATTTTGCTAGGGGCGGGGACTTGCTTTATTCCTGGCCAGCAGCTCACATTCAGATGAGGAAACAGTCACTGGAGGATTGAGAAACTTGTCTTCATGGGTGCTGTTATTATTAGATGCTTTTCTCTCACCAAAGCCAGTGTCATGGTGGTAGAAGCCTGTTATAATCCCAGGAACTCAGGAGCTGGGGAGGGAGGTATGGGGGGAGGGGGGAGGGGGGGAAGCTCTGATCCCCAACTATTGTAGCACAGACCAGGTGAAGGGCGTGCTGAACCCGCACGCGCTGGCCCGGGCGCGCGCTGGCTCTGGAGCGCAGTCGGAGCCCTCGGGGTTGGGGAAGGGGGGCGGGGGGGTGGGAGGGGGGGGG